TGCAGTGCTGTGTAATCGTGAAGGAGTTCCGTTTCCCTCCATTCATCCTGTTCTCAGCAGGAGATCTGCATAAATGTAACAATAGTGCACATGAATAATAGTTTCTACTCATATTTCCCCACTGAAATCCATGGTTAGCAGTAAAAATGTCTAGAAAACCTTGTTTTCTAGGGGGAGGTTCAGTTAGTTAAATGGGTTTCGTATACGTGCAAACAACAGGGAGGGCACTATAACAAAAGAGTCTCCATCTGTTTTAATCTTTCCATCAAATCACCCCCTACCTGCACAGTCACGATTCTCCTGGAGATTCCCTCCCGAGTCTGGCAGAGAGTCATGGAATAAGATATCCATCCTGGTTGCTCTGCTCAGCTTGTTATCCTTTTAACATTTATGGTTGTTGTAGTGTTCTTGCTGATGTGACGATTCCAACAGGGAAGAAAAAGGATTTGACAAATTGATTTGGAGAATGGATAGGGAGGTGAGAGGAACATGTTGAAGCTGTTCTATTCCATCAGTGCCCATGTCAACCATGTAACTGAGAATACCCAGTGTTGCAATGAAAGTGGTGCCTGCCCCAAGATACACGAAAGAAAGAAAAGATTGATTTCTGCAAACTTTACTGCCCCTATAATATGCTTGCTTCCAGGTAGAATGTATTAGAGATGCAAGTTGCTTGCTGATACCTGAATTCATACTGAAAGAGGAAATAAAAATTAAATGGGAAGTAGTACGCAATAGCTGTTTATATGTTAATGGAAATCTGACATATATTGCCTTAACATGGAACTGCTTTGGTACAAGTGCCATGAGCAAAAGGTACATTGATGATGTAAGAAAATCTAATGTGTGTATGATGATGAATGCTGTTTAAACAAAGTCATATAAGCAACATTGTGGTTTTGTCTCTGTGCTAGGGTTAGGGTTAGACCTGAGAGCCTGTAGGCTGGCACTATCAAGATACAAAAGATGAACTCCACTCAATATGAAATGGAGAAGCATTCATATTGTTATATGGATGACATTAGACAGTATATGAGATTTAGGGCAGAATAATTATTAATAACTCCTGCATTCCAGCCCAGTATTCCTAGGAAATGCATTACTATTGAATGATTCCGCAGCACTTGATTTGTATCCTGTGTGGAAATTGTACTTCATGTCACTGCAGGAAGAAGTGTTCCCTTTATCCTTTATTCAGTGTGCTAACTATACCATGGCTTTCGAGGAGCACACTTTTGTCTTACGCTTCTGTGGTGATGGCAAGAATAAGATGCATGCATGCTGGTATCTTTAGTGAATTAGATCAGCCTCATACATGAATCATACATCTATAACTAATTTTACAAACATGATCCATGATGATGAAGATACAGAAAGACAGAAATGCATGGCAAAAATAACATATTGTCAATAGTTTAGAGACCCCTAAGATTTTCACAAATCATGCTTTCAGGGCAGCTCATGTATTATCAAAAGAAGTCAAGTTTCCCCTGCCCGCTGTGTAGTTTGCACCCTGCCTTTATTTAGCTACAGTAGGTGGAAAGTAAGGTTGTGATGGTCGTTGACTTTCATTCTAGACTGAATGAAAGTGTGCATCCTGCCCAACCATTTTCCATAATTACGATCTGAACTAAGTTTTATCGGTACCACCTTAACCAAATGATTAAGTGTAATATGAAATATGTATATATATATGTATACATGTATATATGTAATATGAATTACTGCCCAACATCTACACAGAGCATTTTAGCCTCTTTGAGCTCATTGTTTAGATTTCCCAGCTAACTCTGCTTTCTGAAGACCAATTCCCAGAAGGCAGTTGTGTTAAATGGAAAAGTTCTAAACAGTGGACAGACAAACTTAACAACTATTGCTGATAAACACAGGAGATAATCCTGTAAGTCAAATTTTACAAACTGCGGCTGCTTGAATCTGATAATTTTAGATAAAGCGAGAACTACTGTTGGGTTTGATAAATCTAGCAACTTGGGTGTGTTGAGAAGGTCTCCAGGAATGTCATGACATTTAAGGCAGTAGTTACTTTGTTTGTTTGCAATGGAATAAAATTCTAAAAGTAAAAGTAAGTTTTTTTTTTTTTTTTTTTTTTTTTTTTTTTTTTTTTTTTTTTTTTTTTTTTTTTTTTTTTTTTTTTAAAACAAAAAAAAATAAATATTTTTTTTTTTTTTTTTTTTTTTTTTTATTTATTTATTTATTTTATTTATTTATTTTTTTTTTTTTTTTTTTTTTTTTTTTTTTTTTTTTTTTTTTTTTTTTATTTTTTTTTTTTAATTTTTTTTTTTTTTTTTTTTTTTTTTTTTTTTTTTTTTTTAATTTTTTTTGGCCCCCCCCCCCGGTTGTGTTCCGCGCGGCAAAACAAAAAAAAGAAAGTTTTTTTTAAATTTTTAAAAAAGACGAAAATTAAATTAAAGAGTAAGATTTTAGCCCAGGAGTTGAATGCTTTTTTTTTTTTTTTTTTTTTTTTTTTTTTTTTTTTTTTTTTTTTTTTTTAATTTTTTTTTTTTTTTTTTTCCCCCACCCGGGGCCCCCCGGCGTGTTTTTCCTTTTCTTTTTGCTTATATGTTAACTTTACATTGTATCAGTGTTGATTTTGAGAGTTAAAGCAGTATAGTCTCTGCTAAGACATATTAAATTATGTTATAGAGTTTTTTACTTTGGTGTATAAGATTTCTTTTGTACTCAACTGTTTACATTGGAAGCATGGCTGCTAAGTTATTCACTGCTAGTGCTAATAATAATAGGAAATGTTTACCAGCAAACTGGATATGTGCATTTAAGCTATAACCTTTATAAGAAAATATGAGGTGTGTAAAATACCTGATGTGTTGTATTCAGGTCATAATTTAAAGAGAGTTGTTATATACATAAATATGCATGTATAGTCAAAAAAAAAAAAAAAAGAAAAGAAGTCCTATGTTAACTTGATGGTTAAAACATGCTAAAGTAATCATAAGTTCATGGTTAAAAAAGCTACAAATAGTTCATGAATGGTGTGAGGATGATAAAGTACTCCATAGGAGAAATGCTGTACAGTTAAAAATATTTCATTCATTTAATTACTATTGTGTGCAGTAGTATTTTGATGTGATTTCATATACCATTGTCATGGTGAAGTGGGATTTCATTGACTCAAGTGTAGTAATAGCCTTATTTTCATACAGTTGTTAAATTCCCTGGAGATACCCTTAGATTTGGATTTTGGATTCTCCTGATATCCTGGATATCAAGTGTTGCACCCAGCTTTTTTCCAGGGGGGCCCCTCCCACCCTTCTTTCCTCATCACTTGAGTGGTAGGACTGTGACAACTTCACCTTACCATATGACTTCTGACAGAACTAAAACTTTTGAACTAATTCTTCATCCTAGGGATCAAAGGAATAATGAACTTTATTAATCCTGAACTCTATTCATACCAAAGACATTTCCTTGTGGAGTTGAACTGTGTTGGGTATTATATTTCCTAAGGTGGTTTATGTTAATTTCTTAAAAGACTGTGAAACTATTTGTGTTCCAGAGTCCTGGTTAAGAAAGGACCTTTGTTATTTTTCATTATACAACTTCCAATACATTCACATTTGAAGTTAAGGTACCCTGTGGCTCCAGTTGCTTATTGTGTCTGTCATACTCTTTCAACTCCTGCTAAGAACCTAGACACTGGTCCTCAATGTATTTGAGTATTCTGTTAACTACCGTGGGTTACATAAGGTTATCTAACGTCTTGAACTTTTATCTCAAGTGGAACTGTTATGTAGTAGATGGCTGGTTTTTTTTGGGCCTTGATGAGTAACCTTAACGTTAGTATATAATGTAATGTAATGTAATGTAATGTAATGTATGTAACTATAGCATGTCCCTTGCCACACTTTGAAATTCAACATCCTGATAAAGTCACAATTCTCAGTGAGGATCATTCTTGATAGGTATTGTTAAATGTATAAATTAGACCACATGCTCAACTTCTTAATTATGTTAAAGTAGTAGTTGAGGCTAAAGTTTACTGCAGTTTTTTTGCTGACCATGCACATTTTAAATTTGCTCTGTGCTTATCAATTAGAAAGCAGCACTTGATAAAGTCAGGAAAGTGAATCTTTGTGTTTTCTAAATTAAGCTTAGTGACAGGTAATGTTAAACTGCTCGGTTAGATCAGCATGGTGCAGTTGACACTTATTTACAATACATAGACATTCCTCAAACATCCTCAGTAATCTCCTGTAAACCCCTGTAGAGGAGGTGCATTACTCTGATTAGAGCGATTATTACCATGTCCTTACTCCTGATGTTAAATGTTTAGTAATTCTTTTCAACATTTTCTGTGTTGGAATTAAAACTTGGATGTGCTGCTTGAGATTTACATTGGCAAGAAAATGTATCTAAAATCAAGTTTATTTATTAGAGATTTTTTTTTAAATATTGTGGTGAGTATTATTCAAATGCATTTTTATCATTTTAATTTTTAACTCTGACACAGTTAGATAAGCTGTATCACAATCAGGATGCTTCACCAACTTGTAGAAATAATAAAATCATTTTAAAATGTTTTTGTTTTCTGGATGGGTATTAGGCGGTGTTCCAGTTTAAATCTCTGCTTTGCTTTGAGCACAGTACCAAAGGCTCCGTAGTAAATGGTAATATTTAATATATAAGTAATATACAAATGTTTTGATTTTATTTGACATGTTTAAACTAAATTGTCAAGACTTTCAAAAAAATTTGGGTATTCTGTTGCTACAATTTTAGGTTTCTAAAGTCAGAAATCTAATTAAGTCTAATATAATCCTGTAATAAATCCTACCTTCATGAAGGTTACAAAGTGCAGTATTTGTTATAACTGTTTAAAAATGGTGTTTATAATATTGAATCTAACCTGGCTGTTCTTAATACCTAACATTAGTATGTCGTCTGATTTGTTTCTCTCTCTCTCTCTCCGTCTCTCTCTCTCTCTCTCTCTCTCTCTCTCTCTCTCTCTCTCTCTCCCCCCAGTGAATGGGCAGTGTAAGGGGTTTTCAGTAGCCGTTGCAAGTAGGTCCGAGTTACTTAACCATTACAAACTCAAACATCCACATTTTGTACGTACTCTCCGCTATCCATGTACATATTTGAAATGCCCGTGCTCATTCAAGACATAGAATGCTGTAGAGTGCATTCCACATACATTTGTCAGACTCAAAAAGAGCTGTATACTTTCAGCTGTCACTTATGTACGTGTAAACATTTAGCAAATGAAAGGGAGTTCTTTGATCATATTAACACACATCTGAGGAGAAATGAAAACGTTTGTTGCATGTTTGTTGGCTGTAGTTTTCAAACTAGCATTTATGGAAACTTTAAGTCTCGTAAGGTTTAGGGCAAGTGTTTTATTTCCTCTCATATGATTCTTTTTGTGATTGTGCACTCTGCAGGTGGAAGACGAAGGCCTACACCAAGGAGCCATTGAGGAGACCACGCTGGGAGTATGTGCTGTGAAACACAGAGATGCCACTGATAGACCAGAGGACATTGGGATTGTCCTGGAGGGCCAGGTGGTACTGCGTGATCTGGACAACGTTGCCTTTGCTGTTGCCATGCTGTTTGGCCTAATGTATGCCTTAAACCTCAACTACCCTCCTGAACTTAAGTACTGTTTCGAAGTGCTCCAGAAGGTTGTGATGGAGCTGGACGGCAACACACTGTCAAAGAAAGCCCAGGCTCTCAAAAACAGACTCCACCAGTGAGCTGTTGCCATTTAATGGCAAGATGGATGCAACAGAGTCTCCCTATCTTCTTGTGGAATATGGACCGTTGCTGCTTTTTCATTGGACTGGACTTTTGACACTTACGCATTTCACTTGCGCTGCCTTAATGTATGTTCTTGTTTATAGCAAGTGTTGTGTATTGTTTTCAGCAGATTTTTTTCTCAGGGCCGTGTATTGCAAAATGACGTACAGAAATAATTTTAGCATGTAGAATTCATACACAAAGTATGTAGGATCTTTATGAGACTAACTTGAGCAGGAAAAGTTGATTTACAACAACACTGCATATACTTTACATAAAAATCTCATGTTGCTTTAATAGGTAAGAATTGAATACAGTAAACATAAAAGGGAAACTTTAAATTAACCCCAAAAAATGATGTTGGGTCATCACAGAATAATAGAATATAATTAACATTAATGAAAAACTTTTACAAATAAGAATTCAGTAGATTAAATAGAAATTAATTTTCTAAATACATTTTGACTAAACATAAATACAATATGTGCAACCGATTTTTTTTTATGTTAATTCAACAGAGTTTTTTTTTTCAGTGTATAGGATGAGTCAGGTTTCCTCCATCTCTGCTTATCACGAAACATTAATGGCTGATTTGTGGAGAAAGGTGATCTTCATCTGAGAGTGGTAAAGTGTATAATGGAGATGTCCTTCACTGCTGGATAATTAGAGCAGTACTAGGCCTGAGATTTTGATCTGTAGGAACAAACAAGGTCTGATTTATTCTAATGTTTCCACTTCAGATACTGCTCAGGGGAAATTGTAATACTAAGCTTTGGCGTGGAATCAGAGAATCTGATTTCCTGGTTCCTCTGCTTATCTCATTACCAATTATCGTTAACTGCTGCCATTGCCTCCTACTGAGTACAGAACAGTCCTACACAGAGGAAGCGTTTCAATTATTTATGTGTCCCATGGATAAGTTATATTGTTGTCACTGACGCAAACAGAGAATTAATGCTACTCTTGTGCCTTTTAAGGAAGGCACAGGAAATCTAAGAATATTCAAGTACTAATGCGAACTGCAGTGACTGTCTGTTACACATGATGTTACCTGGAATGTAGCCCTGAATTAGACAGTAATTATCCAAAAATGTACTAAAATGTTACTATCACCTCAATAGAATAGTATACATGTCATTTCTTACCAACTGGCTATTTTCTCAGTATTTGATTAATATTCTTGTGCAATTTCCATCAATCACATGATTGTTTGTAATCAGTGTAAAAGTAGGTTAGAATAATCATGTAAAAACCCAACACAGAGAAATACCCTAGACTTTGGTTACCCTCCAATGACAGACAGCTGTTACCTGTGTGGTTACCAGCAGATATGGTAATGTTTTTAATAATTATACATATCCTACATGGCTTGTAAAAAGTGACGTAACAAGTGTCCGAACTCAGACCCACTTAATGTGCAAGAAATGTTTGTTTTATGACTTGTGTATAGGCTAAAAACACTGTCATGTGTTTATATGATGTTAACTAGTTTAGAACAAACAATAAAGTTTAGATTTGCGATGGTATTAGCAATTGAAATAAAATAAAAAGATTAACCGTTGCTTGCTAACATTGTTAAAATCCTGCATTAATTACCAAAGCATGCCTTGTAAACTATACTGGCAACCTAAAGCAGAAAACAGGCTTTTCATCAATGAAAACAAGTTCATTAAAAGAAGGACTGAAGGAAGCTCATTATTACCACCAAAATTACATTTTTGTTCACTTCTCTTCAGCATCAGTACATTTGGAACATAATCACCATATTGATAGATTATAGGTTTGTGGATATCAATGCCACAAAACTGGATCACCTGTTGAATTGATTGCCACCGCTGAGAAGTGATACCTGCCGTCTTCATGTGGGAGCAAACTACAAACTTTTTAAAGCCACTATTCAGATCTATGAAATGTTTGTTTGTTTGTTTGTTTGTTTATGAAGATTCCCATTACCTTCTGTATAACAGTCACTATTCTTCCTGGGGTCCACACAGTTTATATGGTGACAATACTATACAAATATACACACTCACATTGACTGACTAGCATTAGCCAGCCAATATTGCCTGTTTTGTCATGATCCTGAGTGATATATGTGGGAAACTGAGCTGCCACATTAGCTTTCCAGCAGGTTGGAATAAGACTCAGTTTCATAAGAACATTAATAGAACTTAGAAAAATTGGATCTGCTGTTAGTATGTTTCAGCTCTGTGCACCCTCTTGATTTGCCATGATTCAATAAGTTACAACAACAAAACAAAAGACAAGCAATATGCAGCCACATTATGGATTTGAAAATATTGCTTTTGGGAGTTTTAAGTTGTGATTTGATACTTTAAAAGTTGGTCCACACCTCCTTTTGTGTTACATAACAAATATTATTTCATTTTGGAGAAACATTTCTTAATTATAAGCATACATATAGGCTGAAGTATATATGTGATGATTGAATTATATAAACTAATCCAATCCCAATCTATATCCGTGAATCAGAGAAAGGCAAATCTCATGAGGAAACTGGATGCAGTAAATATCATATCATTGGTGATTGTTTGCAAATAGAACAGTACTGTTTTTCCCTCAGCTCTTTCTGTTTGTACAAAACACAAAAACTGAAGTTGAACATACGGATCAGGTTAATCCTGAACAACTGGAGGATTTGTCTGAAGTCATAAAGGAGAGGTTTGACCTCCTCTATCTAAAGATGGAGGCCCTCATTGGTTGTTAACTTTATTTAACTGTTAGCTTGGTTGAATATTTACAGGAAAAAGGTTTTACCAATTTAACCAATAATCGTAACTCTTGATGGTCCAACCTATAGGCTGAAATACTATCTCCTACAATATGGACTTCTTGGTTAACCGGAACCCATCCAAGGTTGATGAGAGATGAACTAGAAGAAACCACATTTTGCTGCAGCACATTTCCAATCGCCATCTCAGTATTGGTTTAGGTAGAAGTACCCACTGATGTTGATGCGAAACACACATGAAAGAAGTTTTTGTTGTATCTGGGACTAGAGTTGTTAAGAGCTATCTTGCTGCCCAAGGGTTCATGGGTAAACGTTTGTTTTTTCTATTGGTACTTTGAATTTTCTTTTTGCTTCTTATAAAGTGTTGAAAACTTCTGTCTTAACTGTGGTCTGTGTTTGCAACTTTGAAGAGACCAGCCTTGATTGAAAGATGTGCTGGGACTATGCGGGGTATAATCTGTCACCACCTTCTTCTTCCTGTTCAGCGTGATTGTTGGAGTGTGGCAGCTATTGACCATTCTGGCACAGCATCTTACTGTAAAGTTGTAGGTTTTGTGACTACCTTGGCTGACGTTCGGTCACTAGGGATGTCGGGGATGGGTGTGTTTTTGTACCTCCCCACCACACCTCCCGTTGATGCAGTTCAGCAGAGTGCTGTAACCTGCTGTTCTGTACTGTGTAAGGGCAGTCACACTGTGTTGCTGATTGGTTTGTACCTTCCACTCCCTATCCCTACTAATCACACTTTCAATTGACTATTACTAATTTATTCTGTGGGTGTGATCTTGTTTGCTTTGATTTCTAAACATTCAGTCCGTCCAAATATATACATGCAGCATTTGCTTACTTCCGTGATGTATTTCCAGTATATGCCAAGGGTGCCCAGGTATGGTTTGTGTTGAGAACTCTCAGATCTCATTGGGACCCACTATTTTGTTTGTTTGTTTGTTTGTTTTATTCTCCGGCTGCTAATGAGAACTTTGGAAGATGTTGGCACGATCAATTGCTGTGAGTGAGTTTCAGGCAACTAAAGGCCAGAAGCACCTAACCGAGGATATATGAAACTGATTAGTCACCCATGCGCAAAACAAATAATGAGACTAAATACAATTACACAATCCATAAATTATGCTGTAGTCATCAGAAATCCATCATAATACAATGACATATCACAGATAGATAATAGCACTACAGTTGAGTGAATGAGGGTGAAATAATTGAAGCAAATCTAAAGGCAACAATTCACTTGTTTACAGCATAGTTAGGTCTATGGCATTGTTCATCAGTTGATGGGTGTTCCCACATTAACTACACCATGAAATTCTACTTGAATCCTCCCTCCCTCCATACTTAAGAAATACAACAATAAATACAACAGGTGTAGGAGCCATGGCTTTGTGGCAAGAGTGTGCTCTATGGGATACAGGGGATACTGTATGACCACTGTTCAGTGTAGCATGGACAGCTGGCGAGATAGAGCTAGTTGTCAGGGATTTTGGCTGAATCAAACTTTCAAATACTGTTACAAGACAAGCTAATTTGAAAAACAAAACAAAATAAAAATCACGGATAAAATAATTTCTGGCCTACTGAACCTTCATAGGCCTCTGTTTTTAGATGACCACAGAGATCTTTATTAAGACGAGCATCCATCAACACCTTTCTAATGTCACTGCACAGGGAAGATCATGGCTGAGTTCTCACTATTGAAATTCTTCCATTTTTGTATTGGGGGCATCAACCAATGGAGGGGTAAGAAGTTAAATCCAATCCAACCATCTAATTAAAATCTCACAGTGTAGTCAAATATGTGATTTATATATGTTATTTAATTCAACTAAAGACTTAACATTTCATCAAAATACCAAAATTTGAGATGTCTGTTGATAAGGCTGGCAGTAATTGACCACATTACATGAATTTAACTTTTATTCTGCACAGAATGACTTCCAAGACCAATAGTTTTCAAAACCCCAACAGTGCTTAAACAGAAGACTGAAAGCACCCTCTTGTGTGAATCAACTGGCCCTCAAACTCTATGAATAACAATAATGTTCTTGTTGTTCAGCCTACACCAGGGAAATGTGATTCTGCCAGTACAGCACATCAAATACACCCGAGCAGGAAGTCATTAGGCTGCTGAACGGGGTCCAAGTTGAGAAGTCAGAGGTCAGAAAGCAATAACTCACCTCTTTGTCTGGAATTATGAAGACATGAATTTCCTCTGCTGACTGGTCAATATATAAGAAACCATAGACAGGGCTTCATAAAGTGGCTGCTTTGTTTACTAATGGCAAAGCCGGGAGAGTCTTGTTGAGTGCTGTAAGATGACCTTTGAAAAGAGAATATTTTCCATGCTGTGAGCAACACAGAGGGGCTAAATAGATGAAATCTAAAGCAGGACAAAGATTACTGCTTTGAAATACTGGTGTTAAGAAGTGATCCAAAACCCTTGCACCCATTATATGTTTTTGTAAAGCTTAAATGGCAGTAAAATAAAAGTGAAAGCACAGCCAAATGCATCCAAGTAGACAAATATTTACACCTAACCACAAAATAACATGATGGAGGGGAAAGGCATTGATTATGAATAAAGGTTACATTTCTGAAGACAATCAGATTTTTTCATTTTAAACTGTATTTGCACAATAAAGTCACATAGTCACACTGACTAAGAACAAGTGTCACAGACTTTGAACAAACAAGTTTAGTTTATCTGCTAATGTCCCCTTCTACAAACACTTCTTTTATCCTGCATGTTAGCTTGCTGAATGAGCAACATCAACCTAGGAAAAGTGCACTGCTAATGGCATTTTGCTAATTAACTATATATATATATATATATATATATATATATATATATATATATATACAGCATATTAAACAGCTTAAAAACCTGCAGATGCCTTGTTTTTCAAGGCATTTTCATATCAATCATATCAATATCTTGATAAAAATAGAAATGAGGGCAAAATGGCAGGGAGGAAAGGAAAGGAAGGGGAGGTAAAGATCAATGAATAGATATTGGTTTTGTAAAACAAAAAGGCCCTCAACTCGGGGCGTGCTGCGGCCGCATCACGTACCGTCCTAACACATGCGGACCACAACATGAAAATTTCACGTAAATCAGATCACAATCACCACGCAGCAGTTACTTCCTGTTGCCAGTAGGTGGCGCTATCACTATATCTGAATATTATCACATAGATGTGTTCAGGGTGGGACTCTTATCAGACAAGTGAAGTTTGGAGCTGAATGGACAATGTACACTCAAGTTATAGCAAACTCGTGTTTTGTGGCGTTACATCAAAATTTCACGACACGCCACAGACACGCTCACCACAGTCATCACATATCATCAACAATGGATTCTGCATTTTATAAGTGAATTTCAGCGGGATCTGATCGTCCTGCTAGGAGTAGAATATGGAAGTTGATATTTCCTGTTGCCACTAGGTGACGCTCTCACTGTTAGTGAAAATAATCACATAGACATGTTCAGAGCGGGACTATTATCAAACGTGAAGTTTCGTTGAGATCAGATCATGTATGCCGAAGTTATGACAAATCCCTCTTTCATGGCGAGTCGTTGAAATTGGACGCCACGCCACGGGCACGCCGTTCGACGGGATGTCGTAAATAGCACAACTTTTAATCATGAATGTCTTTAGATTGCGCTTAGATTGCCCTGTTGGGTGTGGGATATGGCTTCCACTGGATTTTTTGTACGTCTAGATAAGATCTACGCGTGTGCCGATTTTTATGCATATCGGTGAAAGGGGCCCCGGATGGTACAGTTTATGGGCCCC